GCCTGCAGTACTGCACTCTAACCACTGCGCCACCTCGGCTCTATAGGGAACTGCGCCACCTCGGCTCTATATAGGGAACATTAACTATGTTTCTTACACTCATGAGACTAATAGAAAAAAAATGCCATGTTCACATTTATTAAAACCACCAAGTGTTTTATTTTAAAAAGAGTTAATTGTCTTGCTGTTGTGCTGTTTGGTTTAATATTCATCCATTTGTTTACACAGTTTTAGAAAACGCAATAAGTTTTAAATATGTGAATATACTTTTGATTTATATACCAGAAAGGTATCACACTATGAAGAATTATGAATGTATCAACATGGGGGCTGGAAAAAAATAAACTAAACTATTGGACTGGCACATTAATCCCACATTTACTACCTTGAATAATCAATACATCTTTGCTTTCTTTTTATGAACTGATTCTGCAGCAATATAATGAAAAGATTAATATGGTACATGATACATGCTTAATGATGTGTTTAAAATTAAATTGAATGATTTTTGTATGTATTATTATTTATTTTCAGTAAGATTTATAAGGCCACCCAAATCAAACAGCATGGCTCTGGGTAAGCTAGAGCATAAAAAACAAGCAATACTCACCCAGCCTACAACTTTAATATAGATACAATGTAAAAATATAAAAGGCAAAATATAAAAGGCCACCAAGCCACCCAGACTATTAGGTTCAAACATATAATGTAGTACATTTTTGTTGTTTCCTTTTGTCCTTTTATTGCCTTCATATACTTTAATTTTCCCCTTCTTTTTCTTTTATTGTATATTAATGCAATATTTATTTATTTATTTTGAAAACAGAAATTCTATAGCTCCAGCCATGCTGTTTTCAAAAATTAAAATCTTAGAATTGTTCCTAGGAACAAAACACACAGACACACAGACACACAGACACACAGACACACACAGACACACACCACAGACACACATACTTTGATTACTTACTCTTCGTGTTTTTTGCTGATCTGTTTGATTGCTAGCAAGGACTTTAAATTTTTGTGTCCAGGCCTCCAAGTCAAGTTTTACTCCAACCACTGAGAAGGAGAAAGAATTTTATTTTTTTTATTTGCAGATAGAAAGTTTAATCTGCAGAATATGAATGCGTGCACATTTGTTTATTGAGCTACATATTTTTCATATTTTTCATATTTTTCTCAGATATAGCACACATGTATATAGAATTTGTGCCAGCTCAGAAGCAATAAATGAGCAGTATAGTGGCTTTCAAAACATTGATAACATTGAGTTTTAAAATCTATTTGTACATTTAAGTAATCTTATGAATTAGATTAGACTTTGTCTCTAGGCTAGCTTGAAAATCTCCTCTGTTATTCTTATATGGCATAATTCCATAAGGACATGAAGAGTTACACAACCTAGCACAAATTCTATATACATGTCAGCTATGTCCGAGAAGATACAACCTTATGTCCAACATAATTGCATTGAAGCTCAAATTTCAGAGGAGGTGGAAGAAAGGTGTATCTGGAAATATGGAATGGTTGTAGAGTTCCAGAAAGCCTATGCTGAACTAAGGCAGGTTAGAATAGAATAGAATAGAATAGAATAGAATAGAATAGAATAGAATAGGATAGGATAGGATAGGATAGAAGATCTTTACCTGCTGGCTTCAGATGCCTCTCTGCTAGATTGAGTTCTACAGCTGTGCTAACTAGGATCCCAACAGGATTGCTCTCTGGCTCTGATCCTCTGTAGCTCGCTATTTAAAGAAAAGAAGGAAATAAATTAGCATTTTCTGATGGATAATACTGCATGACTGCTACAAGAAACTCTCTGGACTAGAAGAAACAATCTGATAACGGAGTATTTTTATGGTTTCATGAATAGTTGTCTTCCTGCCAATGCTTATTTTCCAATTCATGTTAACAACACAATAAAAGAATCTGTTTCTTCGATTCTGCTATTTAGTAATTAAGGTCTTAAGCTACATCCATGGCTTCTACATTGTCACAAGTCTATCAAATTCTGATAACAAAAATTAAATAAGCACCATAAAATATAAATAAGGCACCAAAGCACCAAAGCAATTTATTTCCCATGATTTGATGACTGAATGCTCCCTTTCCCCACTCCTGACACATACACCTACATATCAGAAATCCTATATGGTAAGAGTTTTCTTATAGAACAGTGTTTCTCAACCCGAGCAACTTTAAGATATGTGGACTTCAACTCTTGGATTAAGCTAGCATGCAAGCCAGCTTGAACAAGAATTTTGTTGTATTCTCCTGGAGCTTCATATTTCTAAAGAATTCCATCTGCCAGCCAGTGCCGGCTGGCAACTACAAGGAGGAGAGCCTTTTCAGTAGTAGCTCCGACCCTTTGGAACGAGCTCCCCGTGGAGATTCGTACTCTCACCACCGTCCAGGCCTTCCGCATAGCCCTTAAGACCTGGCTAGCCCGTCAGGCCTGGGGACAAAGATAATCGCCCCTCCCGAATGACGAATGAATGTTGCTCATTATTTTACTCTATGTTTGTCTACGTTATTGTTTGTATTTCCCTCCCCTGATCTTATGTAAGCCGCCCCGAGTCCCCTCAGACAAAAAGGGCGGCCTAAAAATGTTAATAAACCTATAAACCTATAAACCTATAAAGACTATCCAAATTGAAAATACACCAAAACTGCCTAGCGATGTTCTGCAAGATTTTACTTACGATCTCGGTAAGGAGGCTTAAAGATGTAGCCTTTATTATCTAGGCTCCTTCGATAAAAGCTGGCATTGAAGGGCTCTCGGTCTTCTTCCCAATCTTCAGCAGCTCTTTCATAGAAATCAACCACACCCATAAAACATTATCAATTTCATTTTTCACAAACGAAGGCTCAAAATCAAATATATGCATAAAAATTCTAAAAAGTTTTTAAAGTGGCAGTCTGCTCTTCAGATGTCAAAACCTCAGATATTCATCAAATGTATTTCCTATAAATTTTTCAATACATAAATAAAACAAATATTTAACCCATGAGGTTATAAAATGGCAATTGGGACAAGTCTCAATGTCACTTGATGCTTACAGAATTGCTTTTTAAAAATGAATTGAGTTCTATCATTTCTTTTACAAGATTGTAGAGAAATCCCAATGTAAATCCTATTAACTTTTTTTTTTACTGGGACAATAAAATAATTTTCATTTTGCATGAAGCTGAGTGCTTGACAAATCTATTTTTTTTGTTTTTCCAAGCATATAAAATATCAGGATATTTATGAAGTCCCTAAAATGTTGCACTTGGTTTGGAAGTGTCACGTAATTTTATTGCTTGGCATTTAGGCATTTAAGGCAAATCAGTAAGAATCAGGGGTAGGTTCTGTCAGTACCTACTGCCGGTTTGCTCATGGCTGTGACGCCCATCCGCAGTGCAATAAAAATTGGTCTGCACATGAACAGAAGCAAAAAACAAGATGTCGATGCCTACGGTGCCACCCAGAGAACTGGTTCAGAAGCATGGCAGGCCTGGTCCGAACTGGTCCGAACCAGTAGAAACCCACCACTGGTAAGAATACTCCTCTGAAGATGGTAGTTAACACCACACTTTTGGCTCTCCAACAGGATACAAGTTACAGTAATCTCATGATTTAGGACAGTTTTTCAATTTCATATCACATTCATGTCCAAAAGTAGTGGGGTGTTTTTTTTTTTTTTTGGTAGGAGTCCTTTTCTCACATTCTTGCAGAAACAAAATACTTGTTCACATCTTTAAAATACATATAGAGGAAATAAAAATGTTTGGCTTCATTAGAGGAAACTTTTTTTCAATGCTGTCTTTCTTCAGTGGTGGTCAGTCAGGGGCTCACCAATTTTCTCTCTCCTTTGACCTACTCAGAAGAATTTGGAAAGTGGCTTTGATATCAGGCAGTCACAAAATAGACCATACATGTAATTCTATGCTGATTTTCATGGATTGCAGAGACCAAAGGGAAAAAAGATTAATCTATCTGTACATAGATGTTTATAGATCACAATACCATAACAACAAAAACTTACTTGTTAGGGAAAACACGGGTGATGCCACCATCTGTGGCAACAAACACAGCTAGAAGACTATATCTGCAGTAAGATAGAAATCAAAGTCAAAATTTAGGACTAGGGTGGCATATCAAAATGTCCCCAACAATTAATGAAAACAAGATCACATGATAATGAATTAGGTTTTTTTGCTGCAAGAGATCAATGAGAAGCAGTTTATATAGCACCTGTACAAGCCTAGGTAAAGATGCAGCTGCTTTAAAAATTAAGAGAGAAATGTTTCAAGTGTGCTTCTGAATCACCTCTTTGAAAAGATTTGCATAGCCCCATCTACCATTGATTTTAACATGGTCTCCAGGCCATGCAATTTAGCTTATATTAACACACCTGAAGGCTTCACATTGTCATGGAAAACTGCTTTACAAAAAGATGAAATTAATCTGCACTCAATTGAATAATTGAATAACACCACTAGCATGTCTCAGAAGTTTTATTTACGTGCTTAAATCTTGATTCTTCCATACTGTTTCCACCAGCTGTTGTGTAATTCCAGTGTCCAGGATAAGGTTGTGAAGAAGGAAGTTGTCACCTTAACAGAAAGAAGAAATGTTCCAAAACCAGAAGTTTACCTCAATAGCCACTAGAATTTCTCCACTCACCGTTTTACTTGCAAAAAGGCAGTTGAAGGCAATATGAAACCTCTCCATTATGCCGTAATTTCGATTCAGAATGCCCTGATCTAAATTCTTAGCAGTATTAAACAGCCTTTTTAAAAAAAGGTGTATATTTCTCAATGTTTTTGGAAACTCTTCTCAGTACTGGAAGTCAGCCAGCTCAGGTCTCTGGCTTTTCTTGCTGTTCTGAGTTGGAGATGGTATTTTTGTATCTTATGCACACAGAGGCAGATTCCTAGAGTATTGTCATACTTCTTTTAGCCACACCAAGTGTAATAAAGAAACATGGTAGAACTACATATCCATATTTGACAGATATCAAAGTGGATTGACCAAACTACTTCCCTTGGGAAATGTACTTCAACATCTAAAGAATACTTGATCAATATGTGTCCATAAAGGAAGGGAATGCCATGACTCTTGTTTCTTAGTTGCTCAGTTGCACTAATTTACACTGAGAAATCAGGCTGGCTATGTAATGTAGGGTTCGTTTTAATGAAGTACATCTTACAGAATTCTAACCTCTGATGAAATGTGACCTGGTTCCAGCCAGATCAAGCTTGAAGAAGTCCATGTGCCTATGATCAAATGTAGGATTGGCAAGCAACATTATCCAATGACTGCATACTTTTTTTAAAGACAAGTCCCATCGATTCCATTTGGGCAAGCTCATTATTACATGTACAGGGCTACACTACAATTCTTAACTGTGGTGGCTAATCATTTATACCAGACTTTTACAATCAAATATTCTCCAGAACAGGCTCCAGTGGTTGGGAATTCTGGAGGCTGTAATTCAATACATCTGGAAGTTGCTACAAAAGTTGAATTACATCCTTGTTTTATGAAATCCACCTTACCATAAGCTAACAATTCCCAGATATGAAAGAAACACATCTTAACACTTTATTTAAACAAACACGAAACTTTATTTAAATAATCTATTTTTGGCAACCTTTGCCTCACCCCCATCTTAAAAAGTAGATGTATTTATTTAATAATTCCATTGCTGCTTAGTAATGGATTTCCCTGGGTTCTTTCACTCACAAAACGTGAAGGCTTCCTTGAGATGAGACTTTTTGTCCACCACAGGCCTTTGGGGTACTTACATTGTTTGGAGTCAGGCGTCACCTTTTCCATGAGGGCAATAAAGTTTTCCAGGAATTCAGTGTTGTTATCCGACAGGTTGAGGTCTTTGCAATATTCTCTGGGTTACGAGGAAGATTTGTCGATTGGAAGGATGAAAAAGTTGCGGTTAGTTTTCTTTCTCTCAGAATTGGCCTAATCATGTGCTCAGCACAGGTGAAGCAGCTACTCAAACTAGCTGGGTATGGTTAAGACAATGAAGGTGGGAAATATGTGGAGTTATTTAATGAGTCATATCCTCACCACCACCATCTCGGCTCAGAAATATGGTTTTTGTTCAATGTGAATCTCATTATCGATATTTAAGGCTACTCGGCTTTTATTTTTATAGATGTCTTAAATCTATATATGGGTAGAGAAAGAAATGTATAAGAATCTAGTACGTTTCAAATATAATATCTGTAAAATATGTACTAGTGAGTCTTTGAGAGTTGGGGAGATTGTATGAATGGGTTTTATGCCATGGCTCACAATCTGCTGAGAAAGGCTATTAGTTGGCCTTTTCACACTGGTGTTACAGCACCTCTCAAGAGTAACCAGAAAGCTATAAAATAATACAAAGTCAATTTATGAAAGCACAGTAGGAAGCCTTTGGGAATATATTGGCTATATAAAAATCAGTGTCATAACTCTTTTCTCTTATTTACTGATGTCATAAACCACCACCTGAATGGTTTCTTAATGCCATCTAAAGTATAGCACACAGCACTGGGTAGTACTACGCATCACTGCATTTTCAGATTTCTGCAATAATTGTGCCACTCTATTTCTCTAAGAACTTACTGGCTTACTTTAATTCCTCCGGGTTTGCAACTTAATTAAACTCTTGATCTGCTTTTGTGAATTTCTATAGACATCAGTCTTTACTATGATTTTCAACATGGCACTTATACAGAAGCATGACCGTGCTAGTTATAAAAAGCCTCTATTTTTATCAAGTATTGGAAAATAGCCTCATTTCCTTCCTCTCCCACTCTTTCTTCTAGCATTCACTTTCACAATGAAGTTGGGGGCAGGGGGAGGAAAGCAACACTTTAAAAAGGTGGCTCTGTATATAAGCTGTGAGAGTCCTCAGTGAGATGCTAAAGGTGCAGATTTGATATTATGGTATCTGGTCTTTTTAGAGCAGCAATGGGGATCTTGCAGATTTCCAGGGGTTGCTGAAACAGAATTCTGAGCTGGAATGGTCAATTGTAAACAATGTCAGCAATGGAGGTTGATAAATATGTAGACCTAAAAAGCCCACCACTTCTCTAGAGGGAGCAGTGGAACTCAAGCTGTGAATATTATTATTTTTGCATTCTAATTATTGATATTTGATGGCAGGGAATAAGTGAGACTGGTAATCTGGGACAAAGATAAATTTCTCTAAAGGTAAAGGTTCCCCTCACACATATGTGCTAGTCGTTCCCGACCTTAGGGGGCAGTGCTCATCTCCATTTCAAAGCCAAAGAGCCAGTGCCGTCCGAAGACATCTCCATGGTCATGTGGCCGGCATGACTAAATGCCGAAGGCGCATGGAACGCTGTTACCTTCCCACCAAAGGTGGTCCCTATTTTTCTACTTGCATTTTTTACATGCTTTCTAACTGCTAGTTGGCAGAAGCTGGGACAAGTAACAGGAGCTCACTCTGTTACGAGCATTAGGGATTTGAACCACTGAACTGCTGATCTTTCTGATTGACAAGCTCAGCATCTTAGGCACTGAGCCACCGCGTCCCAAATTTCTTTACTGTCTCCTAAATGGGACTACCTCTTGCCCACTTTATTAAGATTGTTTCTCAAGATTGTATGCATCCCCAAATAAACCCTATTAAAAGCATGAAGATAAGTAATAGCTATCTCCAAGTTAAAATGTATATGCAGTGCCAGTTAACTTGATATAAAGGGTCAATTTATACAGCCTTAAATCTATCTCACTAAAACCATTCCAGCTATCTTTCTAGACTCACTTCCAGCATCTTTTTAAAGGTTCTTTTCTGACACGATTCTATTACTTGACTGCTTTATTTGCAATTCAGAAAGAAATCTCTGCCCATTGCTTCAACAATGGAACGGCTTTTTTCATATCTATGTATAATTGTTTTCTAACAGTAAAAATTAGTCTAAGATGATGCGACAGATATCAGCCAGTTTTCTAAAAAAAACCCCACAGGTGATATCAGCTCTTGTTTTTAAAACTCTTCCGAACGGATTTTTGATGATAAATGGAAAAAAAGTGAAACTGTAGGTTAACATGGTGGATCCTATTTCTCCAAATATGGATTGACTGCATCATGGTAACATCAAACAATATTGCTAATGAAGCTACCCCAATCTGGCACCTTCCTGATGTGCAGGGAAGTTCCATAATTTCCAACCAGCAGAGAGTTCCAAATTTGGGAAGCCAAGGAGAACTGACAGGAAGGGGGCAAAAATGTTAATTCTTCCTTTGCCCACTAATTCAGTCCACAACCATTCTCTCCTTTCCACTTTATATATATTTGTAGTTTTAGTTAATTTTTTTAATAGAAAAAAGTAATGGAAGTTGGAGGAAGAGTTATTGAATCAGTACTGTGAAGACAGATCAATTTATCATCTTTCTTTCACTTATCAGATTGCTGCAGCATTATGAAATGTATCCAGGATGGGAAATGTCTTTCTTAATACTATGTATGGTTTTCTTAATAGATTGCTTGAGTTAAGCAGATAGAACACACTAATTCTAATTAGATTGTTAACTTCTTGAATGACAACAACTGCAGTCCAAATCATATACAAGTGTATTTGTGCCTGTTTATATGCATATATGCATGTAGCACTATCTGTCTATTTGTCAAGGGATGCTACCCAATTCAAATGTCTATGGAGATTCTCAGTCATCCAAGTCACGGTTGCCCCAAAGGTATGCTTTTTCAAAGAACTGAAGAAGCTTCTTTGATGAGAAGCGAAACAACTTCAAGGAAAAACAAAATCCAGTTTCCTTTTGAAAAAGCACCTTTGGGACTACCCAATTCAGGTGTAGTCAGGAGCTTTGGTGAATTAAGCAGGACAAGATCCCAGAGAAAACAACAAGTTAAGAAGTTTGGTGATTAGATCCTGAGTTACCATCTTGAGAGGTGCTGAATCTGGAGGCGCAACTGCATTGTTTCTTGCTTTTCCTCTTTTGGTCTTGGTATGGGATTTTAAATGAGGGATAAAAATACTTACCTCTCTCTTAATGGAAAGAGGAGAGATGTAGGTTCAATGATTTGTGAAAAGAGTAGAAGATTCTCTTATCTATAACGTTTTGATATAGAATTTGGTTTCCCTCAAAAGATGCTAAGACCAACGTTGCAAATTCTAGCAAATTCATATCTATTTCATCACCTATTGCACAACTTACCATATGCTCTCATTAGATATAATCTCTTCATTTATTGTGATCACAGTCCAACCCAATAATTAAAATCAGTGTCACTATTCTTTTCTTTTTGATTTTTTTGGGGGGTGGGGTGGGGTGGAAGAGGATAAAAGTCACTCATCTTTAGTTGATTTTACATTAAATATGAAAAGGGTTTCTTCTCTGAAACTCCACTTTTTGACAAAGTGGGGGACAGGATAGGAAAGAGTGGAAGAGGGACATATGAGAGAAAACACTAAAGATCTGGCTTACTTGCGGAATGAAATGTAATTCCACAAGGAACAAAGATTTTCAGGACAGTCACAGTGAATCGCTCTTCACCATAGCAATAGAAAACAGGATGGCCAGCCATCTTTACTTCAAGATTATGCATCACAATACTGCTACAGACACATATAGAAACTGTAAATATATCTGTACTCTTCATTTAGACAGATAGGTGCTGGCATTTGCTTGCAAGAGTATATGCACATGCAGTGCTGAGCTTTATATAATAAACTATTTATCAGCTTGGTCTTTTGAATGGGTTAACTTGTACATAAGATTGTACGTTGCTGTGAGTCTATGCATCTGCAGATATAGACCATTGTGAATTGTAAAGATATATAACAAAACTAGGCTTGTTCTCATCACCATTTGCCATTATATTTGGGAGTTTTTATTCAACTGAAGCAACAAAGTTTGCATGGTCTAGTTTTGCATTGCCAGTTAATAAGATCTGGGGTTGGAAATAGTGTGTGTGTGTTTGTGTTGTTGTGTGTTTTGTGTGTGTGTGTGTGTATTTCTGCTTCTTTATACTGTAGCTTTCAGAATTAAATATTAAGAAATAATTTAGAACAGCATAGAGACTGCAATTTAGAAAGCGATTTTTCTAGGTTCATGACAAATGTCACACGGGACATCTCACCAGGTGGCCAGATGTAAAAGATGATAGTATCCTGTATCTTTTAACAGCCATGTAGCTGAGGGGATAGTGATGGGTGTAATTTGTGTAAGGCGTCTGTCACAAAAAGTGGGTTCAATGCAAAAGCCTGCCTATGTATAAATGGAATACATTCTGTAGATAAAACTACTTAGCTATGTTGCATAGGCATCTTTGGCACAAAATCAGTAAGTCCCTTAAAAGGTTGGTTCAAATAGAGAGTTAATGAGTTTGAACCAAGTAGCAGGTTCTGTATGCATCTGATTTATTAGATCCAACAAAATGAATGTGTATGAAAGCAGAAGCAATTAAAATATATTCTGTAGAGTAGCTGGATACGATTTGACGGCCACTGGTTTGTAACAGCTTTTTCATAGAAATAAAATACAAGTTTATTTAGCTTTAATAACGTTTCAATTCTCCATCATTGTATGTTAATGCAACATAAAATCCTGGGCTGCCCAGTTTATTTTGCTTCTTGAAGAGCTATATATATACATATATATAGAAAGAGATACATATACACAATATTTTATCCACCTATGTATCCACACAGATATGTACAGATATATGTGCTTGCACACCCACAAATAGATTATCAGTGATATATGGTTTCTGAAAATTACCATGGACTATTGGCCATATTAGCAATGATGAGACTTCACAGCATATTGCCAAGCATTATTGGGACTGAAAGGCTAATAAATAGTGTAGCTGGAATTAAAGAAATGTCATAAGTAATCACTAGAAATGAATGCTTGCTAGAACAGAAGCCTGCTTGTTCTGATATGATCATAAATCTGCATTTCTTTACCTCTGATAGCTTCCAATGGACAACATGTCACCTCATAGAATTGACACTATGGCTATTGGTCATCTTAGTTGCCACTGGGGGGAGGTGTGGTCCAAGAAATATAAAAGGAATCATGTTGGGAAAGACTGCAGGACAATAAAAAGTCTTTCCTCTTTATTTTATGACTATCTATGCATTTTACAAACAAGGACATATTCTAAAAACAAACAAACCCCAAAACCTTAAACCTAAAAATTTGAACATAAACTGTTATCCATGATTTATATAATGTCCCACAGAAATCATGTATTTCTATACTGGACAGTGTTCAGTGCAGAAAAAGATACCCATTAGTAATGGTGATCACATCAGGAGTTCAAAAATTCAGATAACCAGTAAATGATGATAGCAAAGAAACATAGAAGACAAAGGCCTATGATAGCTATCTGGATGTTTGTACCCCAGATTTGGTAGCCCTAAATGATTAAAAACTAGGCAATTTCCAGCTCTCCTCATGTACTATCAACTCCAAATGCAAAGCACTGAATGCAACAAATATCAGTGAACCCCATTCACTGAAGTTACTAAACTAGAATCAACAGAATTTAAGAAAATAAGATATACTTTCTCATTCATCCAGGTAGAGTTATCTGGAATTTGAATCATGGCAACTAGACTTTTCTTTTTTGGCTTGAAAAGCAGTGAAAAGTTTCAAACCAAAAAGAAAAGAAGTCCAGTTGAATGCTAGTTTCTACGCAACCCTGCTCAAGAAGACCAGTACAGAATGGGGCTGTTTGGATTGGTTCAGCATTATATGGAGGGATACAGTTTCCTCATCCCAATTTAAAAAAAAACTTGTATGTGTTTTATGCTTTTTTAAAACTGCGATCCTATAAATACTTACCTGGGAATAAAGTCCACAGAATACCTCTAAGTATTTATGTATAGGATTGCTTTTAGGATTAATACATGCCATAACTGTTTAAAAAATGTTGGAACATCACCTATCCATTGTATTGTAATGCCTTAAATAAAGCGGAATTTGTGAAAAGGCTATTAAATTGGCATTTCTTCCATTTTCTTACTGTATATATGGTGATTGGAACCTGAGTTACCAGAAGAGGCCGACTTTACTGCATCTTTAAATGTTTGGGTAGAAGGGTTTTTTCCTTCCTGACAGCATGGCATGTTTGCCTGAGCCTCCGATTTTCCCTTTTCTAAAGAAGTATTAAAGATGTAAGAACTCCATCTTTATTTATATTTAGCCTTCTGTGGCTGGGGGAGCCAATTAGGTTTCACCATTGCAAATGATTATACAAACAGTGATCATTATAATTTCATCTGGATGCCAAATATATCACCAGTTTATGATATTGTGCTGGCCGTAAATCTAACAAGAATTATTTATTTATGAAATACGGAATTCCGTTCTCCCCCTGCCACCCCAAAAAAAATCTTAAATAGCACATACACTATACTTCCCTCTCCAGTTTTATTACCAAACTGTTCTGTGAATTTGAACCTCCCTAGCCTAGTGTAATATTCTGACCACTACACTGCAATTTTGGGTTTCCATTTTTTTACTACCAGTTTGCTCGTGTGCATGTGCGACACTGTTCGGGCAGGTAGGCAGAGCCTCCTGCTGCTGCCACTACCGGTTTTCCTGATCGGGGCTGAACCGGCCAAAACCCACCTCTGCTACACTGGACTGAGCAAAAAAATGTTCTGTTCTGTAGATTTGAAATAATTAAATTTGGAAAAGTCAAAAGCATAAAACTTGATAGAGTAAGGTTTGCTAAATGCAGAGTTTGTGATTTTTATGCATGGTATTACTATATAATATCAATAGTAACATTGTGTAAAGGGCAAAGGGAATAGCCTTGAAGAACAGGAGGACATTCTGCTACCAAGTCAGTAATCAGATAAGAGGGCCTCTTACCTAGACCAAGAAAATAACATAAGAAAACATCTCAGACAAGCCCCTCCCTAGTTCACACAACAGTAAAGTGAGGAAGAGGGAGGACATTCAGACTTGCAAGATTTCTACTATTACAGCTGTCACAATAAAAGTAGTCCTGGTCAATATGATTTCTTAGGCTGGGCTAATTTAGAGACGTTTTGGTGGAATTTTTCCTTACATGATATCATCTCAATAGGACCGAAACAGGGTTTTCTACTGATTTTTTTTTTGAGGATTTTCAGAAACTATACCTATATATGTGTGCTACATATGTATCTCATATGCAGCCATATACACATATATATTCTTCTTATGTAGGTGAGTGAACAGAAGGTGGGGCAGCTATGCTGCCAGCCGCCAATGGTAACACAATGTAGTGTAGGTGGCGGCAATCATAGTCCCCGAGACTGGCACACAGGCAGACGACAGACACACAAAAAAAGGAAGAAATGATCAAGACATTGGCACAATGAAGAGGTATATCAATTCCAAAGGGGTCAGGAGTGATGGAGTAGAATATCTGAAGGTGTGGCAGGGACGGAAAAAGGGTTGGGGAAGGGGAGTTGAACCACTCCCAGGATCGGTGGTTAAATGGACACCTCAGCAAGCTCACACACAAAGCTACCTTGGAGCAATGAATACATGTCCCTCGGACTCAAAGCTGTTTGGCAGCAGGTATTCAAAATCTGCAACAGAAAGGTAACATTATGCGGCGGGGAGTTGAAATGAGGGAAGAAGGCAGCTTCGGTTTCAGAAGGTGACAGAGCCAGAGCAAGAGGAAATGGGGTTGGGGGAGAGAGAAAGAGAAAAGAGACAGGAATAAACAGAAGAGGCAAAACCACTGGCTCATTTTAACAAGAGAGAAAGAAGAGAATACACTTTGGGTGCTCAAGTCATACCAGAAGAAAGTTATAGCCAATAAGTTGCCAACATTGAGTGGATTTGGAGAGTTAATCGTATATAATTAAAATTCCATAATCTGTAATTAAATATATTTGGCAGATTGTATATATATGTATAAATAAAAATACCTTCATACTTATATATATATATAAACACATATATATATGTATGTTTAGTAGGTCATGTGGATATCTCTCTCTTATTATGAAATTACAAAGAAAAGAAATCACATGCTCTGCTCATACAAAAAGAGAATTACTAAAACAATATTTTCTAAGAAAAATTATTTTTCAGGCATCAACATGGCCAAACCAGGGTCCTTTATGAAGACAGTCCAACCAAAGACTTACCCATAGTCAGAGGTAAAACACAATGCATTGTAGAGAGTGCAGCTGCTGTGTTTTCTAATGGACAGAGTTCTTAGAGCATTGCAACAGCCATCCCTCCTTGGTTAGAATGTGCAACAATCTTCCATAGAAGTAATGTATGTAATCAAGTAAACTGTGGAGTATTAAACATGGTCAATATTCCAAGAGAATATTGAGTTCTGATAGTTAAGGCACCAGGATAGAAACCAGGAGACTGTGAGTTCTAGTCCTGTCTTAGACATGAAAGCTGGTTGGGTGACTTTCCACCAGACACATATTCTCTCTCAGCCCAACTCACCTCACAGGGGTGCTATTGTGGGGAAAATAAGAGGAGGAAGGAATATTAGTACGTTTACCGCCTTATAAAAATAATAAAAGTAGGATATAAAGAGATATATTGTACATTTTTATCAGTAAATGGTTATTTATTAAAATGAAGAACAGGTATGTTATTGGGATGAAGTGTTATATTAGGAGCAGAGAAACCCACACTGAAGTCCACTTTCAGGCATGAAAACTGGATGATTTGGGGCAAGGCCGAGGTGGCGCGGTGGTTAAATGCAGCACTGCAGGCTACTTCAGCTGACTGCTAGATCAGCAGTTCAGCGGTTCAAATCTCACCGGCTCAGGGTTGACTCAGCCTTCCATCCTTCCGAGGTGGGTAAAATGAGGACCCAGATTGTTGTTGGGGGCAATATGCTGACTCTGTAAACCGCTTAGAGAGGGCTGAAAGCCCTATGAAGCGGTATATCAGTCTACTGCTATTGCTATTGCTATTACTTCACAGGGGTTTTTTTCTTGGGAAAAATGGAAATTGAGAGGCTTATATAAGCTACCATGAAATCCCCAAGAAAAGCTGAGATATGAATTGAATGAATGAATAAATGACTGAATCCATTAATAAATAACAAGAGGGTTCTATTAAAGTATAACTCTGGAACCGCAAAACAGGACCAAAGATATATTCAACACAATTAGCACAAGAATATGCAAGTGGTACTCACTAGTCGTGGTGCGGGTGTTGAACATGATCCACAGTTTTCCAGAAAAGTTATGATGCCTATACTGTAATTTGTACGTTATAAATGTTTTTCATTTTGTTATTTGGTTTTTCTATGAGCTGATTAATTTCCAGTAAACTTTTGGTATGCTCCCTAAATACTTGCCAGATGTTACCATGTTTTGAAAGTTTGCAAGTTTTCTCACATTTAATTCTCACTATCCGAAAAAAAGAAGTGAAGAATTCTTGCGACATAAAACAGAGATAGAAGAATCCCAATGTCCTGAATTTCTCTTGTTATAGGACAAAAGAAAAAAAAGGGCAGGAAGTATTGTTATACTTTATTGGAATTCTGTGTTTTATAGTATTATCCTATATATCAGGGGAGTCAAACTCCAGGCCTGTGGGCCCAGATTCAGCCTCTGGGTTGCTTAGATCTACCCCGCAGGGCCATTCTGGAAACAACAAAAGACCGGCCTGTGTTGCCTCTGTCAGCAAAAACAGAGTGTGCAAGGACCGTGTGCAGCCCTCTCATGCTGCGTTTTGCTGGCAGAGGGTAGCAGGAGGACATCCCAGCTAAAAACAGAGCTCGTGAGGGCTGCACATGCCCCCCTCCCCAGCTCCATTTTGGGTGGCAGATGGTTGCAGGAAGCCTTCGTAGCTGAAAATGGAGCTGAGAAGCCCATTTTCATTGGCAGAGCGCTTGGGCCACAGGCGCCCCCAACACAAGTTATGTTAAGTTGACCACGCTCATCTTAGCCACGGCAACCCCCGAGGTCAAACACAACCCTAGTGCGGCCCTCAATGAAATTGAATTTGACACCCCTGGTATATATGTTCTACCCAGACATATCTCAGGTAAGTAGGATTATAAACTCAATTTACTATATGCTTTAGTGGCCTCTAAATCATAACTAAGCTAAACTAAGCTAAACTAAACTAAACTAAACTAAACTAAACATCTTTATCATTGCTTCTGCGAAATGACCTTGATAAAATGTGTGATTTCCCCTAAAATTATTTTTATAGGAAACAAAGTTTTTAAAACTAGGATTGACATGCTCTCTACACATTATGGGACATCTGTCCAATAGCATTGCCATTTTCCATCGAATTATGTATAATCTTCATCCGTTTCATTCCTAACTTCTAGGAATAATTGATGGAAGCTTGTGCCATAAATGATGCCATGAGAAAAATGAACTGAGTGCAATCATCACAATGTTGTTACTGTGCTTCAAATCCTTGAATTACCTCGTGCAGCACTTTCATGTAATTCTTAACAAGTATGGTAAGCAAAATGAAATCCTGTGGAATCTCCTTGGCCAATTTTCACAGAAAATGATTGCCAGAACCATTTCTGAAACCAATTTGTGAGATAGGGGGAAAAAAGCAATGCATAGCAATTTATTCAGCTTTTAATCTAGAAAAGTGGTTCGGAACTATACCACCGTTACTGATGTCAATGGTTATTGATGGAGAATCAACATCCATAACTCACTGATTCTCTCTATTGTCCAAGATTCAGACTGAAATAAATCCAAAAAATCTGATCCAACCAAAACAGTGCACCCAATTTTCTACTTGATCAGATTTAGTGATAGCTTCAATCTAGACAGTTTTCTACACTTTTATGGTTCTTTCAAAGAATAATCTTAAAGGAATAGTTCCCTTACAATCTTGATACAATTAAAAAAAAATTTTTTTTTAAAACTGGGGCATAATTTAGTTGAACTTTTGTTTTGCTATAACCAACATTTAAGAAGGCATCAAATAAGCATTTATTGGGATTCAATAATATTTCAAATAATAACAACTGAAGGTTTGTAATTGGATTTTGTGTTTTCTTTCTTTTCTTTTTTGATTTGGGAGGAGTGTGAGGAAACTTTTGTTGCTGCAAGACCCGAGAAGTTCAGAACAAGGAAGGGATTTTCACTCATTGTTTTCAACATTTCAGAAGAAGAGACATAATTTCCAATCTGCTTCTAACAGACTGAAAAGTAAAAACAATCGTGGTATGGTTCACTCTCCTGGTTTATTTATTATTTATTTTTTAAAATATTCACACTGCTCTTTAAAAGTAATGAAAAATAACTATTCAGGAAGTATTTTTTTTAGCAAAGAAACAATCATTTTGGATCATGTTTCTCTTTTCAGTAACCCTCCGGAATGAAGTATTCCACTACAAGCTATTTCAATGGAATAGGTTTATTATCTCCTTTATCGAAAATTACAGAAGGCATATCAGTTCCATCTATTCGCCCCTAAACGCATGATGGGTGATACTTTAATCTGGATTATTTTGGAATTAAAAAATAATAATATTTAAAAAAATTAAGGATCACTGTGAGGCTGATTCATTAAGATCAGGACTAAGAAATTTGTCTGTATCTTCAACTTCTAACGAATCCTTCATTATCTTCTCCTCTAGCCAATCCAATCTGCAAACATCAACCTCTGCCAGGCTCATTGGCACTCTAATCACAATCCCTACGGCGCCACAACATTTAGCAATAATTAACACTCTAGACTTGGCAGCAAGACCGCAAACATATATAATTGGCTGCACAGAAGAATTTATTCTAAATTAATGGTTTAACTAAAAAAAAAATGAAAACAGTCCCCCCTCCCCCAAATTTTCTAGGAATATAAAATCATGTCAAGCAATGATTTTTTAAAAAAAAAATAGGGGTGGGGGGGCGTGCTGGCCTTAATAGGCATAACCACAAAGGAAGAGCAAGATCTTGCTTTGACCGGAATGAAAATAATTGTGATATTTGTAATGTGAAAAAGACCAGTTCGCTAAAAAAAGAAAATATATTTGCAATCATTTGTAAATTGCAACCTTTTTGCTTATATTGATCATTGGGTTGTCTGCATAAGCCATTAAGAACAAGGCTCAGATGAATGAGAAGATGAATGCCATCGTACTTTGTGTTGCATATAGCTCCTAATTCACGTAAGTATGAGAGGAAGTACAGTATAATCAGCAAGGCTCTGTTGGCAAAGCTATTATCAATAAAAGTAGTATTAGCTTCCTGTGGAATTGATTCCTGCTCTGATCTATCTGGGGGGGGAGGGGCTGACAAAAATCTTGCAAATCTCATCGTGCTGTACCCCTTCTCCTCTTTAGACTCCTGTGAATTAGGGTGGCGTCCGTCTGAGCCTTTCTCATAGTTTCTGCTTGATGTAGATTTAAGATGTTTCCCCTCTGGTTAACAATAATGGATCTTGCCTATTTCCATTAAGATTATCTTCATTGCTTTCAACAGGTCTCTCTATACCAGACTAAACAATAGCCAGTAGTCAACAATAGTCTGTAACACATGAAAACAACTGAATAGTTTTGTACCATTTATATTCAAGAGCAAGAAAATAGCACAGGTTGAGGCTTCTGATGGACTTGAAGCTTGGAGTTGAGTTTGGCTCTTCTTTAGAATGGAAGAATTGCAAGGAATTGCAGACAATTCCCTGGAGACCCTGCCACAATTCAGGATGGTTCTTTGCAGGTGTAAGCATGGTTACTTAACACAGTGGTCCCCAACCTTTTTATCGCCGCGGACCAGTCAGCCTTTGATAATTTTACCGTGGCCCGCTGAGCGCGCGCA